GTCCGTGTTTAAAGCTAAGAAAGGCTGCTCCAAAATTGTCGAGAACTGTGCACTTCACGCCAAGGGCTTCAGCCTTTCAGACATTTTTCTATAAGAAGCGGATTATCTAAGGTTTCGTTCCTGTTGAGGAAAAGATGAATTTTTCAGCGGACATACGAAAATCCCTCTCAGCATCAAAGAAAAGGATAACTTCAGAATAAACATTGAGGAATGGAATAAGTAAGGGCAACTGCGAAATTTCGGTACGGTATCACCGACCTGGTACCAGTTAACCGCCGACCAGGGTGTATGGAAGGTTTATTGGGCTAAGCGGGCTATCAAGCTGGGAATGGAACCCAGGACCAGGACCGTGCATGTATGAATTTCGCCGCTTGCCACTACATCGATTCTGCTCTTTGGTACCAGACTCGTCTGGGACGATAGAAGCACTGACTTGTTCATGGGCTGGCTACTGCAAGTCATTGTAGAGGCTATATACGAATTTAATACCCCACTACGATTCTGAGTAGAAGTCGAATGCGTTGGCACATCCCTAAGAGGTCTTGATTGACGCCCCAAGACGTTACATTTATCCTTTACTGTTAGCCTACCAACTATCACGACGTGCTGAGTGCGAGTCGAGATGCAACCATGACAAAGTTAATCACAGAAGGGCAAAAAACAGTTCAGCAATGAAACTGCAAAGCAAGAGTACCTGAAAACACTCGAAAACTCGACNTCCTTTACTGTTAGCCTACCAACTATCACGACGTGCTGAGTGCGAGTCGAGATGCAACCATGACAAAGTTAATCACAGAAGGGCAAAAAACAGTTCAGCTATGAAACTGCAAGGCAAGGATACCTGAAAACACTCGAAAACTCGACCCTGTTGGTCGCTGAATTTGTTTAGGGACAAGAGACAAGAAGCTGATGAAAATTGTTGTGCATATGTGACTCAGTTTGATGAAGCCTCTCAATCAAATCCCTGAAGGATGCGATTAGTCATGCTCATAAAAGCGTTTGAGAAGTGGTAAACAGGATGGTAATTAACCTAGTTCCTCTCGCTCTTTCTTTTTTTCTGCGAAAGGAATCAACTTGAGCTGAACCAGTAAAACCTTTTGAGTGGCAGTCTTCTCCATTTTACTTGCTCAAAAGCTGTCCGAGATAGTAGTCGGGATATGCTTCAATTCACCGCAGTTACTCCCTTTTCACGGTTCCAATACTGTTAGCAGACACGAACGCGGCTAACTCCTACTTACGGATGAGTTTATGGATGGGGAAATTAAGAGGGATCTGGAGCCTCCAGTATCTACTTCAGCAACCAACAGGACAGCTTAACTCACTGGAAGAGTCTCCTCCTGATCAAATATTTTTCTGTGGTGCAGATCGCTTCGGCAAACGTTTCGGCAACGCCTTGGCTGCTTTCATAGTCCACGATTCGGCCCGCGAGAGCGCAAGCGACCGGGGCCGACGCTTGCCCCTTATTTACAACTGAATCTTTGTCTGTATCACCACATGAATAGTTCCCCGGTCGCGTCGTGGGCCGAAACGTGGACTATGAAAGCAGCCATTCGCCTTATGAGCTACTGTTACTACACAAATTTACAACTCGCACAGGTAAAGCTCAATATAAAAGGGCATCCATCAGACCCTGCAGATGCATCTCGTAAGCCAGTGTCTAGCTGTCTAAGTGTCTAGCTCACCTCGCGATTGTTGTTATGATATTTTTTTGGACTTTTAGAAGGGAAAATGGATGCATCACAGTGCTGCAGTCACTCAGAGCTCACTTTATGTGGGGTAGGGTAATTAGTTAGAAACCTTTCTGCTACCACGTCATATGAGACTTGTTGATGTTTACATTTACGCAGTTTGCCTTGGATGGCAGCACATCAACGAATTTTGGAAATTGGTCACACTTAGCACAGCACCTTCAATAAACCCATAATATTCATGAAAGTGATGAAGGAGTAAGTGTGCGTAGACCTGTGAGGAGTCACAGTGGCTATCAGAAGGTAACGAATAGAAAGGAAACATGATAAATTGCCTATGTTTCATTTATGTCACCAGAGATGAGCACTTGGTAGATGCAATGTTTAGCCTGAACTTGAACAGCTCCTTGGCGTGGCTTGTTGATCAACAACATCACTAATGAAGAAGAATGTCTTTGAACGGATATCGCTTTTTGTTTTGTTTGTTTTTTGAATGATATTACTCTGAAAGAAAGTTGAAAGTGCTCCCGCCTAGACAGAAAGATCGTAGCCTAAAGCAGCGCTCTAAGGGATTACTAACTCTCACTCGAATACTTTGAATTCCCTTTCTTCCGTCAGTGATCTCTGCTAGCCTTCAGCAAAGCCCTTCCCAGTCAATGTTCTCTTGACACATTGCTTTAAAATTAACTTCCCACTGAGAAGGAGAATCCAATCAAAACGACCTACGTGAGACTGTGGGACACAGACAGGAATACAGAGAGCTGTACGGAAAGTTGGCCCGTTAATAGCAATGATACCGCAACTATTGTTAAAAAGTCAGCCACTAGGGAACGTGGAAGTCTACCTGGTTGTAAAAAATACTCATGAAGTTTCAGCAGGACACTTCACTTAAGAATGAGATATAAACGACTTCTGAGAGGATTGATCGTAGTGGTTCAGTACTACTAGACGAGCTTGCTTCCATTAGTTCGCGGAGTGACTGAATAGCGTTCACACAATTCGGAAATAAAGTTGATGAAAAAAGTGAATTGGGCTATAAAGTTTACGATGGGTTTTGAAATTTGGAGGGAAAATGAATGAGAGAGCTAATGACTGTCCCACTAAAAATGGATTTCATTTCAAAATGCTTCCATATGTCCAATGAACTATGGGTTTTTTCAAAAAGAAATTACATCAGAGTGGACAGCACGGTAGGTTACTTGATCAAAGATAAGTGAAAGAATAGCCTTCTGGCATTAATTTGTCCCATCTAAGGAAGGTATCTCGACATTCGACTGTTGTTGAATGAGTGCGTAGCCCATATAAGGGCTTGCGGTGGCCAGTGAATGTATAAGTCAGTGCTGATGGGAATGATATCAACCGATCGACCCCGGAGGGATGGAAGACTCAGATGGCTTACGCAGATATCGATCTTAGATTCGATCCCCGAACCATACAGGTGTGATACTTGATACTCGATCTGAGTTGGGTGAAATTGGTAAAAACAGCATTTGTAGCTATTGAAATGAAATAAAGGGTGGTTCGCACACGTGCTTTGAAAGCTTGCGATTGCGGTCGAAATCCTACACATTGGTCCAGACAAAAGCTTGCACTCAAGTGACTAGAAAGTATGCGATTCGGGGCCACACCCAAAATCCAAAATCAAAGTCCTTTGTCTACACCAGGATAGACTCTCTACCCTACGTCTACTCAGTCCCCAAGTCGGAGCATCTCAAGCTACTCGTGAGTGTCTATGCCAAAAACATCATACTAAAAACGGTAGGAACAAGCCTCACTTCCCTGAACCTGAAGGAGCCCCAGGTAAGTCGCTGACTAGGGTCGCTCAATGGGCATAACAGGCTGGCCAAAAGTAGAGGAACTTTATTGGCGATCTGCAGATTCAGTGCATCAGCGCTTATTTCGAGAGGTGCATCTGGGATCTGATGATGCAAGCAAGTAAGATCAAATACGTCGTCATCAGGACGACGGTGGTGATGGATAACAGGGATGAGAAGGCATCGCCCGCTGCACGCCGTTTTCGTGACTGGAAAAGAACCGTTTCTCGAAAATGCTGCAGCGGAGAGTCGGAGAGTCTTTTGAGATTCTCGGAATGGAGTGAAGCGGTCATGGGGAAGATGTTCTAGTCAAGCATGTCGACTCATACCACCATTCATTGTATTTCGCAGTTCCAGAAGCTCTCTTATCTGTGATGGACATAAGAGCCACACAGTTTCGTAATGAAATAGATAACATCATCTTCAATCAAAAATTTTGCCTGACTGACGTCGCTATTGTTCCCAAGTCCTACACGAGAACAGACCTTGCTCAGGAGCTCCGTCTCTTTCGCGCTAGATTCCGCTTTTGCGTGAAGAGAGAGCAGCGATGTTCAGGAAACGAAGCCACAAGACAGTTTTCAACGAGGACCACTTCGCTTCCTTTGCGGGTCTCCTCGTTTAACATCTTCAGGATATTGTCAGGAAAGTAAGAATACTACAAGCTGTCAAAGGGAGCTGATATGCCAGCAATGAATCACGTGAGCCAAGTGTAGTCCTCAACAAACGTCCCAATTCGCGAAGCTATGTAACGAAACGATAAAAAAAGATCTGAAAAAAANAAAAAAAGAGGAGCACAGCTGCGACCGCCGCCGAGGCCGAGAAGAGCATTCGCGAAGCCTGCCAAAGCTTCGTCAACTATGCGATCAAGATGACTTCAACTCGTTATTCAGTAATAGCATCCTAAAGGACAAAGGAGAAGGTCATTGACGACCTCCGATCTATCCACCAGCCACGTCCACCTCCTAGCTACCACCTCGAGCCAAATGGAGGTGTTCCTTCAGTTCTCCGAAATCCTTAATGCCGTTACGTCGATGAGAAGAAATGTTCGGCGTAGGATCCAGGAAGGATTAAAGCAGATTATCTGAAGAGCCACTGACTAGTCACCATCAAAACCCTGGTTCGTCTCTTCAAGCGGCACCTATCGGAGTGCAAAGTGCCCACGTCGTGGAAAACTAGCAAGACTGCCTTGCTCTATAATAAGTGAGATACAGACGGTATTATAATACTAACTATCGCCCAACCTGCCTGTTGCCTGTGAAGAATGGACAGCCACGCAAGTTCAGGTTTTAGAGGAGAGTTCAGAACATTCGATCACATCCACACTGTCATAAGACCCATTGGAATGTCACGAGAATACAGATTGCTGTTTTTTTCTCACTGTGAAGATGTTCGATGCGAAGAATGATTTCGTTACCACCACACAGTAGAGGAATCGGAGCCTTGGTCAGCCAAAGCGTTCTTATTCAATTCAAAGGTTTCCTCGTGGGCTGTACAACAAATGCACGATCAGAATTTCGCCATTCTACAAGTCAATATGAGCGTGAAAGAAATGAGTGAAGGAGATCGGCTAAGCGATACCGTATCTCCCAAACTTTTCAGTGCGGCTGTCGAGAACATCATGCGTCATTTGGACCAGGAAGATTCTGGAGTGCAGGTCGAAGGCCGCTTCTCACATCGTCTGAGTTCGCTGACAATATTGTGCTTAGCACATCGAACATCGAAAAGGCGGAACGAGCGCAGACCAAACTCGACAGTGAAAAGTTTGCTTGGGACTGATCTTAAAGGCAGTTCACGATGAAAATTGTTTCTGAGATTTCCCCAAAAGATGAATTCGATATGTATACTATATTTGGCGTTGTTACATCGGAAAACCGCCTAGATAGCGAGTTATAAAGGCTCAAAGTTTCCACCGTGTGTATCCTCGGACGAGAGTTTCACCGTCATTGTAGAGGCTGCACGACCATAAGAGAAACCATGTAGGAAGTCCAAACAACTTGTCTTGACCCATAGCGACAGAGAAAGGCAGTTCTGTGCAGTTCTAGCTCGACGTAGTCAGCTGTATGCGCAATTGCAACAACTGAAATCTCATCCGAATACCCCTTCCATGCTATTTCCGTCATTGTAATCTCGTCCAACCTCATTTTCTCTACTTATAAGGAGCCACATTTTTCTCGAAGTCGGCGAATTCTCTCGCTTTCTTCNNTTTTCGAATAAAAACGGGTACATCAAAATTATCGTGGACCGTGCCTTTAACAAAGACGATGCTAATGAAAAACGTATTGGTACTTGATGCTCCCTTTACGCCAAGCGGGTCGAATATCTCCAAATGGTCTAGCTATGTATATTTAGGTCGGGAAGACAACATAATAAAAGACCTAGTTTTGGAGCTAGGCAGAAGAAAACGCTGCGTGTGGAGCATATGAGAATATCGAGAGAGTAGTGAGAACGGAAATCACTCGACTCCGCGCTCACCTTTTCGACGCTGCTGCCCTTCCTACTTTGACGTACTCCTCGAAGACCTAGCCTCTACGAAAGCAGGATGAGCATGCTGTCAGCGTTAACCACCTATACACGCAAGCGCACAAGGGGATCCGGAGATTCGAGCTCCGTCAACAAATGAAGGACAGGGAAAAGGACGTCAAACGAACACCTGGAAGTTCTCTGAAATTTCTTCACTCTTCTTTTCAGCTCGAAAAAGTGTTCTGGAGGAAGACGTACTTTCCTACTATAGTCGCTGGCAGCAAGTTGTTGATTGTGATGATGCACATTGACGATGCTTTTTTTGAAATAAATTGAAATNAAAAATGTATGAATAGGCAAAAATTCTTTTAAAACAACCATTATAGTAGAAAAAAACATGCATTTGTATGTTCTGCTGTTTGTATGATAAATGTGAATACAACAGATTTTGGTAACCTAAAACAGGTTTGAGCCACGAAATGAGAGGAATAACTGGGTTCAAAATCACTATTACATATCAAATCATAAGTTTCACCAAACACGACAGAAGTGAGTCTCAAAAACAAAGGACCTGTCACTTGAAATCTAGAGAAAGGCAGGCGTCAAATGGTGAAATTTCGTGATTCGTGAAGGAGAGAGCCTAGATTGGTACTGCGAGGAAATCAGATTTGGAATCGAATTTAGTTGCAATGCGACAGCGAGGGTCGATCGGTCAAGCAGCCAGGCGAGCCCTGCCCCAGAGATGACCAAAAACCTATTCAACACTGCAATGAATACAGCAGTCAGCGGATGAATGTAGCCATTTTGAGCCCATGACTTCCTCCTTGCCATCCTCTGTCTCAGTAATTGTTTTCCCAGATAACAATGGGGTGAGCGTGAATAAAAAGGCGAGATAGAATGGGAATTGCTAAGTATCGCGGCGCGAGTTCTTCGCTGCAATCGCAAATATTTTGAGGTCCAACAACTTGGAAGCGTGAAAACAAGACACTCTCAGAGTTGACAAAAATACTTGGATGTTAGGCATCTTAGATCTTAGAGATCCTTATAAAATAGCTATTAGTAAGGGCAGTTGCTGAGCTTTGAGGAAGAGCGCTTCGTTTTTTGGGCCGACATCCGCTGCCGAATAACGAACACTCTGTATTGAGAAGACCTCGGAAGAAAAGCTCGATGACGACAATCCTGAGGAATTTGCTTTCGAATTCTCGGTAAAGCGTTATGAAAATGAAGACGATCAAATACCAGCAGAAACTAATTATTAACGGAGCAGGCAATTTAGAAATAAAAAGGTTATCCTTCTCCAATTGAATGGACTTGAGATGTCTCACTAGCCCAAGGGGGTCTTGAGAAGATCACAGATATATAATAGTTCAGCAGAAAAGAGCTTGGTGCCTCAGTTGATGAATAAAGAAGTTCATCTAAATCGACAGACCTCCAAGTTTTTGGAGGTTGTAGTGATTTGGAGGTCGTAGTAATTCCTATTGAAATCGCTTCTCGACGATACTACGCCATGCACCTAAAAGTCTGTCATGTAGGTTGTTTTCTTGAGCTTTCCACGAGGTTTGTATAAAACCTTCGCTGAGATGACGTCCTATATCTTTTTCTTATTTTTATTTCCAGCTGTATTAGGCTGACGCTTCTTTTTTCGTTTTTTTTTTNAGCTCGAGAAGGACATACCAGTTTATGAGTGTCCGATCAACCAGTTTCAGGCTCTCAAGAAGCCGAACGTCAAGACGTTTGCGTAATAAAGTACGTTCGGTGTTGTTGAAACCTGGGCATTTAATATAATGATCTATATTAAAAAAATTGTATAAAGCATTACTTCAAGCTGCCTCAGATATTATTGTGCAGTGGCCAAGGAAATGGAATTCACCCTTTCCTGATATCAAATCTAGGACTCTTGACGGTTGTCGAACAGACATCTGATCTGAGTTTTCTCATTGGCAGTGATCTTAGTTTTGACGCTCCTCAAGAAATAATCGCTATAGAGGCAAGATTTGTCATGTAACCTTATTCAGAGCCTTTCGGCGACCACTGCTCCGCTGTTATGTGCGCCTACAAAACTTATGTTAGATCTATGCTGAAATATGGCACTCCAGCGTTCAACACTTACAAGTTCAGAAAATTCAAAAAGTTGGGGTCACTGCAGAATGGTTCCACGAAGAAATTATTGATGTGTTTTGGGCATATCTAGCTGAATTAGGAACAAAAGCTTACGTTCTGTCTCATGGCAGTCGAAAGGGAAGCGAAATGGTTCGCTATTACTCCTCAAGCTCCTCCAAGGTGAAGCAAGGATGGATCTAGATCAACTATCCACTCTGAAAGCCTCTATTACAGAGGTTCCAGTTTGAAAATGATGTGAGTAAAACTACATTGGATTGTAGACAATAGAGTGGCTCGCCTTTTGCTAACAATAACTTATGTAAAAAGTCTCCATTTTCACTATCGCCTCACGTTGGCGATAAGAAAATCAAAGACTCACGGGACGAATTCGTCCCGTGAGTCCTTGATTCCCGATACTTCTCTCGGTTGACATTTTCCTTTTTCTCGAATATTCCTTTACTTAATGTTGCAATATGGGTTTGTTTCTTTTGCGTGATGCCTTGCAACGCTGCATAGAAGTAAATCTTTATCTTCAATATCCGTTTCTTTCCTTCCTTTTTTGATCTCTTGACTTCCATTGCGTACCCATTTGTACGTTTTGGCTCCTCATTTCTCACCTCCACTTTTGTGTAGGCGGTTCAGTGGTTTTCTACTGATAACTCCGGTGATAACGGAGTGAAAATACAGCAAATGTAATAATAAGCGCGGTCGTTACCGCTATGAAATGCACAGAAGGAAAGTTAGTCTTAAGTATTTATCTNTTATTTCGAGTAAAAAACTTGAAAAACTAACAACACGCTTGCAAAACTTCCTGCCGTGCCAGAAATTGGCTCTTTGAGTACTCGAGATGAGTATGAAGAAGCTAACCAGAGGATATCATAGAGCGTTTGCAGTGCACTCACAACGAACAAAGAACAAANAACGATACAAAACCCACGTGCTGCCTTTGCTGTCGCTTAAGGTAGTATGAGGGACTCACTTATCTCGGGGCCGCTTGACCCCGCACCTTTTAGGGGCCCACCCAGTGACCAGAGGTGGGACCAGAGTCAGCTCGGCTAGGTCTTCATCGGAGCGCTTTATTGATATTGCGTGCCTTCACACGGTTAATGAGGTCAACAACCACTCGCGCACTTTCGCAACTGCGCGGCTTTGTTCCCATGTGATAGTAACATGCTGAGCTTACAATGAGTGTTGTAATATTTCTATTAATGCATTTTACAATATTGGCCATAACAAACGTTTCTTTATATTAATTTTGAAACAATTGTCATATCATGTCTCTAACTGCAACAGTAAAACTATGCATCAAGGTACACTTATTAGCTATCCTAAGAGCCTCAGCATATATAACTGAAGCCTTGTTCTGTTTTGGTAATATTGGTACCTCCATGCAGGAATCCGATAACCCTGAAGCTGATCTCGTCAATTTTGTTATACAAAGTAGTAATAATTTTATTACTTATTATACAGATATCGAGATCAAGTTAGTAACTTCTTTTGTCCGATGTTTGAGTCTTTTTTGATATCCAAAGAATCTCCATAGGCTATATTTAACTCTTCCTTTAATCTGCACTCTTCTATTTACGACTAATGAGCAAATCATCCATGTACCTACATATATGGAACTGGACTATGGAATATTCTATTACCATGCAGTTTGTTTCCTTTGACATATTTGCATTCTAATATAGACAGTGTAAGATCTGCCAACAATGGGCTAAAATTTCCTCCCTAAGGAACTCCTTTTTTCTGTTCAAATACAGTGCCTCTAAATATGCAATGGCTATTATTTGACAAATAGTCGACCAGATGTAAAAGATCTTGAACAGAGTGAATCCCATAGTTACTATTTCTACTCTCCTGCTGTGCATAAAACTTTGCATCCTTAGCACTCATTCCTGTGACTGAAATGAGGGAACATTCGATATCAAAGAATCGATGAACAGCGACCCTTGGGCCAACAGACTAATACCTCCATCTCATTTCTCACCAGTTCTTCACTGTACCGGCGAAAAACAGAAGCCACGCATTTTCCTCAAGAAGGGCTGCTGAACATTGAGTTGTCTGACAAGTAACAAGTCGGTCTACCGAAGCATTCGTACTTGTCATCCTTTTGCGCCGCTTCCCTTGCAGCTAGGCTAGCAGTACTTTCCTTCACGTGGCTCCTTTCAACATCGACGAGGCCTCTGAGTCCGAAATATTGGATTGTTGAATTGCGGCCTCCGTAATCGCTAATAC